ATATATATATTCAAATTAACATGATAAAAAAAGCAGTTAGTTAGGTCAGCAATATTAGTTAATCTGTAATTAATTTTTAATGCTCCCTAGAAAAATTAAGAAATTGATTTAATTTTAATGCCGAAAAGCAATTTTTGCAGTGATCTACAAAAAATTAAGAAATGAATAAATAAAATATTCATCGGTGTAAAAAAAATGTATAGAATTAACACTTTAAAATAATTGTTCTTAATAGAATTTCGAAAAACGTGACGGAGGATTTTTTGCTGTAAGATTTTTTTTCTATGTTTTTTTCTACGAAAAGTAATGCATTGGCGAAAAAAGAAATGAGAGCAATCTTTTTAACATTACCGCAAACAAATCTCACAGCAAATCAACTCTAGCGTAAAAGAAGATTTCGCGCTCCACTGCTCTAATGTTTCCGCTGCCCTTGCGACTTTTCGCCAAACGTCACTGCAGTCGAACACCATCACGTAGAAAGATTAGAAAAAAAAAAAATTATCCATCCACGTACACACATATCCATCCATCCACACATACAAACACGAGTACAACTCACGAATCACCTTTTTTTTTCCTGTTTTTTTTTTAGCGTACTTGTATCTCTTTATTTGCGACAAACCTTATTTTAAGGCTTCCCTTACGAAGTTGGCGAAAAAACGATCGCTTCTGTTGGCGATGTCTTTGGCGCGGCATACTATCATGAAGAGAAATATTTTCAGTTTCAGAATTCGGTGGATACGCTAGCAAGGAAGGGTCACGTGTGATTCGTTCCTGTTTTTCCGAAGTGTCGGCAAAATGTGAGGATGACAGGTGTGCGTGTGTGCCAAAAACGGATGTGTACGGAAGTTTTCAACCTGTGTTTGTGCCTCATTGGATTAAGTGAACTGTTTTTTTTTCGTGTGTTGCAAAAGGATTTCGTTATTAATTTATTTGTGTACTGAAAATAATTTGAATTTCTACTTCTAAATTATGATAATTAAGGTAAAGTTTATTTATTTTTCACTAATTGTGATTGTTAAAAAAAAATTATTCCCGCAACTGTCTATTGTGTGCTAGAGCGTTTAATTAAAATTCAATATAAGTTAATCAGTTAAATGTGTCATTTAAAAAAATAGTGTTTTGAAACATTTAAAATATTATCTTCGCAAAGAAGAGATCCTCAGTGAAAAATGGAAAATCGGACGGTAATCCACATCCCTAGAAAAAAAAAATAGCGGGTCAAATTTATAACATTGTTAAGATATTTAAAGTTTACAATAAGATAAGTGTAGGATAAGTTGGCTTGATTCTGAAATCTTCTAATATACACTAGTATAAGAAATTAAGAGAATTTGCAGACTGGATCGATTATCTCTTGAACTACTGGGCCGATTTTTAATGAAATTTGATATGCTCATACATTGATGATACAATACAAAACAAATAACCATTCAACAATTGTAATACGCACGCATGATCTCCACTGTTACACATGATCATGCGTGTGTATTACAGGTGCTGAATGGTTACTTGTTTTGTATGATATCAATCAAATATACATATCAAATTTTATTAAAATCGGTCCAGCAGTTCAAGAGATAAACGAGCAAATTCTCTTAATTTCTGACACCAGTGTTGTTATACGAACGGTTTAACATAAAATTAAAACTAACAAAATTTACATGCCATTTATTTATGTCCAAAGTATCAAATATCAACACTTCAGTGGATAGATTGAGATAAACAAACTTTAATGATGCGAACATATCCTGGAAAAAACTTTCTGTTCCCTTTTCATAGTTGTAGTTAAGACTAGGGGAGTAAACTTATGTAGCAAATTCTATTTCACCGACGCGTGAGTCATTTAAAATACAAATGCTGAGCATCATAATGAAACCTGCTTTTTGATATTTTTTAAAAACATTTTTCTTCAATTGAAACTTCATGATTTACCTGAATTTCCTTTTTAGTTTTGTGATTATACTTAAAAGTATAATTGTAAAAAGTATTTGCATTTTAAAATACCAGTGAAGGTCAAACAAAATTTAGTCAACAACTTTAAACGCGATAAAGAGTCTTCTTATTTTGTTATGTTATTTATTGAGAACTAAAGTGAAATCTGTGCTCTCTGCAATCATTCATTTCTCATCCCAGAATATATCCTGTTAGAAATGGTCCCCCTTACCCTGATACCTCCTATTATCTCCCTCGCCCCCTATCTAGAATGATTGAGGATCTGGGGAATGATAAATGAAAAAATAGGTCGATGAAGCGCGCCAATGGGTTCTGAGCAGAAGATGTGACGTCACGGCGAAAACGTACTCCAAGAGATGTGTAGAACAATTGGCTAATTGGCTAATCGATTAATAATTTCAGTTTTACGCTAGAGTAAATTAAGGGGATCTGAGTTACAAGAATCTCTTCGTTTGTCAAAGTATTTTATCTTAAAAATGGACCTTGGATATTTTTCTTTTTAACAAAATTTTTCTTTTTCAAACCGGAGTCAATTCACAATTTTTGAAACTAAAATTTCTTTGAGAGATACTCCTTCCCTCCCACACCCAGACCTTATTTTCACATATACAGAAAAACATGATTGTGACAAAATAAATATATTCTACGCTAATTTAGATTCTGTGTAGATTTTTCACAACATTTTCTTGTTGAACGGGCCACTTGTTTTTGTGAGTTTTCACAAAAAAGCGATCGTATTCTCACAAAATGAGTAGTTTTGCCTCGAAAGCGAACTTTTCACAAAAGAATATAACCCCTAAATGTGTTTAAAAAATTAATAAAATAAAATCAAAGTTCTTCATATCTTTCTGTTGTCATATTTTGAAAGAATTAACTATTCATTTTATTTTACATCTAGATAAACCTTGATTAAAAAAATTTTCAGTTCTTTTTTTCTACCGAGGAATTACTAGTCTATCTAAAAAATTTTAACATCCTTTACTTTTTATTTCCATATTATTTTTTCGGCTCAGAAATTGTTGTGTAGCTATTTCTCATATATATGTGGGTGATTCTCACGAAACATGACAATTCGGACCAAAAAAAGTCTTCAAAATAATCTAAAATTTTTTTTGTATACTTCTTTAACTACACTTAGTAATATCTTATAGACAGCAGTGTAGTTTATTGACATTTGCTCGAGAAAAAAAACTAAAATAGAAATTCACCAAATCTTGAATGCCAGGAAAATGACATATTACCTTAGAAGTTTAAAAAACAGTCATTTTAATTTAATAGTAAGTAACTCAACTTAAGACTTTGGACCATAAATTGCTTAAATTAATTCTTTTTATCCGCTGTAGAAAGAAACTAAAAAATTTTTGTTGCTGATATGTACAGAATAAAATTTTGTATAATAATCGATCATTAAATAAATAAATGACTTTGATTACATCCAAGCATATTACAATCATACATAAACTTGGTATTAGGTTAATATTTGCTTTCCCTCTTTACAGTATTAGCAGTTAAAAAGAATTTCTGGTAACACTTCAATGTCCTGGCATTCA